ACCATTTTTAGATTTAAAAGGAAATTTTTCTTCATGAAAAATTGCATCACCTGATTCAAAAATTATTTTGTTTTCAATATCAAAAAATCTATATGTTGTACTATTTGTTGCATATCCAAGAAAAGCATAAGTGGCAGCTTTCACACCTAATTTAAGTCTTTTAGGGTCCACAAGTCTAACAAAAGCTAGACAACCCCAAACCCTCAAATATCTCAAATTTGGCTTATGCTTTTTTCACAACTCAAAAGGTGTAACTTTTGTTTTTTTATGTGGCACTCTATTCATAACATAACATGCAGTTAAAATTGCTTCTCCCCACAAATTTGAAGGAGCACTTGCTTCAATTAGCATAGCATTTGTTAAATCAGTTAAAGTTCTATTTTTCCTTTCTGCTACACCATTAGATGCAGGTGAATATGGTGTAGTAGGTTCATAGATTATTCCCAAAGATTGAGCAAACGAGTTGAATCCAAAAGATTCATACTCCCGGCCTCTATCACTTCTATATCTTTTAATCTTTTTTCCGAATTGATTTTCAACTTCAAGAAGGAATTCTTTAAATTTTTCAAAAGCATCACTTTTATTTTTCAACAAGTATACATGAGTGTATTTTGAAAAATCATCAATAAAAGTGATAAAATATCTATTTCCACCACGTGTTAAAATTCCTTCAAATTCACATAAATCAGTGTGAATTAATTCTAACAATTCAGTATTTCTCACCACACTTTTATGAGGCATTTTAGTTATTTTTGCTTGACTGTAAACTTCACATTTCTCAAAATTATTTATTAGGCTGAGAATTAATCCTAAACTACTCATGACTCCCACATATCGGCTATTAATATGACAGAAACGAGCATGTCAAAATTCATAGAAGACAACATGCAAACAGAAACACGTGCTTTCTTATTCTCAACATTGAATTTAAACATTCCATCACAGGCATACCCTTTCCATACAAATATGCCTTTTTTAGTGATTACATATTGGTCAGATTCAATAGTCTGCTTGAAACCAACTTTGTTGAGCAAATAACTCGACATCAAATTTTTCCTCATAGACGGTGTGTACAACACATCTTTTAAAACAAGCACACGTCCAAATGTAAATTTTAGCTCAACATCCCCACACCCGAGCACCTTGGTTAAATTGGAGTCACCAAGCATAACAATCCTCTCCTCATTAAAAGGAGTGAAATCTTTGAACCAATCTTTATCATAGCAGACATGCCTATTGGCACCAGAGTCTGCCCACCACCCTTTCACAGATTGAACCATAAAAATATCTGTAATCATAGCCACAAATGGTTCCTCGGTAACATTAGCCTGTGGTCGAGACTGTTGTTTTTGAAATTTGCAAGTTCAAGCAATATGTTCACTTTTGCCACACACAAAACATGTCACATTTGTCAGATCTTGTGAAAGGGGTTCTTGGTTTCATTTCTTTTGCCTCGGGTAATTTTTATTTTGTGGCCTTCCAGTATTTTTTCAAATTTTCTTAACTGGCTTCAAGTGACTATTTTTATGAAATCGACCTTTAGGTAAAGTATTTCCAGAAATTAAATTTACCTTTGCAGTAGAATGCTCTTGTGTCATAAGCGCATCTTGTCCTTGTGCTTCCTCCTCCACCCGAATCCATGTGATTAGAGTCTCCAAGGATGTTTCTTTTTGCTTGTGACGCATTGACTTCTGAAACTCCCTCCAAGATAATGGTAGTTTGTCAATAATACTTGCCACAATAAGATTGTCTCTAATTTTGATGCCTTTGGATCTAACTTCAGCCACTAGCATCTGAAAGTCTTGTACTTGCTCCACCACCGATTTTCCATCTATCATCTGATAGCGCAAAAAGGGGCTTGCTGCATATTTTTTAGCACCTGCCTCTTCAGTGTCATAGTTATTCTGCAAGGCTTTCCAAATTTTCTTAGCAGTGGTGTAAGTAGTATCATAATAATCATAAAATTGATCTGAAAAACAATTCAAAAGATAATACCGACATTTATACTCATCTGTGCTTGCGTATCATTGGTAATTGTCCGGTATGCGATGCATTGATATTTGTTTAACTAAGGGGGAGTCAGAATTGCCCATGGCCAGTGTTAGTGGTTAGGTAGGAACAACATTCTTCAGGGAGTTTCCTAGAACTAACTTGACTGACCATTATTCTTGAGAACTGAAATTTATTATAAGTTTTGCTTGATTATTGCTTCTGTTACATATTATGATCATGCCATTATTGTGTATTGGATTAGGAAAAAGGGACGGGGTATGCTTGCATTTACTGGGCATTCAAAGATCATAGCATTTCATGTAAGGTACTGAACACTATTATACCGGTTGAAAGCGAAGCGGAAGCATTTGAGGATGTATAGTTACCTTAAGAGAAATAGAACCTAGTTTTGTAAATGTGTTTTGAGATTGTAAGTGATAAATCTCTTGTTGTATTTAAGACATGATTTTGTAACTATTATATATCTATACATATCTTTTGTACTACCTTTTTTTGTTTTTTTTTTTTTCTTGTTCACTCGTGTAAACCTTATGTTAATACCTTGTTAGGATCTGTCAAAAGGATAGCTTTGCTATCTAAGGTGGCTGGAGGTTTGTCACGACCCAAACCCGCCCCTATAGGTTTAGCATCATAACCGACTAGCAATCCTGGGATTACCGAAGGCCTTTGAATAGATTAGACAAAATTAAGGGGCTAGCTGAAGTAAATGTCATAATATATTGTCCACAGAGCTGTGCAGACATACATGACAGTAAATTTAAAATTTAATTTACATCATTATGCGATCGTCCTCACGTCGCCATATATATAGATAAACAAAAAGACATGTTCAGACTTTAACAAAATCAATACAAAAATGTCTTAAACGTTGTTGACAAAACTTGGCCACATTTCGAACGGGAACCTCTTCGGGAGGCGTAGTGGCTGGCTGACAGAATGGATTTCTAGGCAATTATCACTGAGGCTGGTCATGCACTTGATCACCTACATACATAAATAATGCAGTGAGTTAGAGCCTAGGGAATAATAACAGAGTAAAGATTTTAATGAAAGACGTCCGTAGAAGATTAAGAAATCAGAGCCCAAAGTCAGAAATAGATTCACATTCAAAGTTCACAGATAATCATACATGGTATACCCATTAGCGCTAACAAAACAGTTGACCCATTTATATGGGACGAAAACATTTGACTGATGTGCACAACAGACGTTCATGAGGATCTATAAACAGTTGACCCACGATCACATGGGACGGACAGTTGACTCATGATTACATGAGACATTCAGTTGACTCATGATTACATGAGACATTCAGTTGACTCATGATTACATGAGACATTCAGTTGACTCATGATTACATGAGACATTCAGTTGACTCATGATTACATGAGACATTCAGTTGACTCATGATTACATGAGACATTCAGTTGACTCATGATTACATGAGACATTCAGTTGACTCATGATTACATGAGACATAGACAGAGCAGATAATAGATATCACATGATGCTAACGATGCCATGAATACATTTAAGAAATCCGGACAATCATTCATCCATACACAAAATAACAGTTCAAAAATGGGCCATTTCATATCTCAGAAACTATGTAAAGTTAAACATAGCTTTACAGAGTTATTACTCACAAATAACTCTAGTAGTAGGACAGTCAGAACAGACGGATCAGATAGTCAATGGTGCGTGACCTACACTAACACATTGTGGATACACATTAAAACACACGCTTGGAAAACACTTAACTCATTTCTTTTCTATCTTGGTGTGTTTCTAATCCTTACCCTCATTATTTTATCTTAATTAAGGCTTAGGAATGCCTAAGATGTAATGAAGATGCAAAAATGCACTTTGGAATACTTAGTAAATTTTTCAAAAACAGAGTAGTTCACTCGAGCGCAACTTCGGTGGCTTGAGCGGTCTGCAAAACTTTGCAAAAGTATTGGCCCCTTGATTTTTACGCTCTGCGGTCGCTCAACAATCGCTCGAGCCAAGGACTAAGAAAAGGTGGGTTCGCTCAAGCACACACTTTGTCGCTCAGGCCACCGTGCAATTGTCTGCAAAACTATTGGGAGCTTGCATTTTACACTCGAGCGTAACTTCTGGTTGCTTAAGCCAAGGTGCAAAACAAAAGGGTGGTCCCTCGAGCGCAGCTTCGGTCGCACGAGCGATGATGCAAAATTCTGAAATTTCCAGATTGCTGTTCAAGATGCAAAACTTAGATTCAAAGCCTTAAAACACATTCTTGGGTCCAAAACTTGAGAAACGTCTAAACTTATAAAAAAAACATGAATTAAAGATCATTTCACAAAATTAAGGCCCAAAAGCATGCCAATTATTCAAAATCAAACTTGACATTGTGAAAACATAACATGTATGCAATGGTACGAACTCCAGCCTTCCAAAACATGATCAATTGAGATGTCAAGTACAAAAACATGTTGAATTCTTAAAGCCAAACTAGAATTACAACATTCATGGAAGGATTCTTTTGAAAACAACTCCAACACTTCATGAAATGCACATGCATGAATGGAATAATCTCAAATTCATTTTTCTAAGCTCAATTCCCATGTTTTTAACATATAAATCTCTTGATTTTGTACATTGATGTCCTAAGTAGAAGGTTTATGAGTTAAAATCTTGTTCACACTTCTCAATTGGACTCTAAGAAGTAAGTTCTTTGAATTCCTAAGCCAATTCCTTAATTTCCCCCTTTCAAGTTCCTCCTTTCTCTTTGAATTGCACTCTCTTCCTCTCTTCTCTCTCTTATACACATTTGAGCTCAAAATAGATGAGGAAAAGGAAGTCTTGGGCTTAGTAGTGGCCTTATATAGGCTAATTAGTGAAGGTTAGTTAGGCTTGACTTAAGACTAATCATTTAGCTTTATTTTATTCAAATTATTTGACTCCAAATCGAATTTCAATTAAGCCTATCATAAATTTCTAAAAATTCCAAATTATACAATAAACTAGACAATTTCGTGATGAGATGTCAATAAGGCCTTCAATTCGCATACTGAAACAAAAAAACGGACAGGTATTCCTACCATGAACAGATATAAACATAATTAACATATAGCATATGCAATTAACTTAGAATTTCATCTTAATTACTGATTAAGCATTGTTTAGTAGGTTCAGTAGCTAATCACAAGTCGGGGTTGTTACAATCTTCCCCCTTTAAAGAGTTTAGTCCTCCAAACTCGAATTACCTTCATTTTGGAAGAATGTTGGGTCTAGAAGGATTAAATCAGGGTATCTTTTCATCATGTCCTTTTCGGTTTTCCAAGTCACATACGTCCTTCTATGATTTTGCCAAGCTACTTTCACCAATGGGATTTCTTTATTTCTCAGTCTTTTGATCTGGTGATTCACAATTTGGATTGGTTGTTCTTTATACACATAATCATCTTTCAAAAGCATGTGTGTCGATTCAATCACATGGAGTGGATCTCGTAGATATTCCCGAAGCATCGAAACATGAAAAACATTATGCATGTTCTCCATAACCGGAGGTAAAGCCACTTGGTATGTCACAGGATTGATTTTCTGAATAATTTCATATGGCCCAATATACCGCGGTGCCAACTTACCTTTAACCCCAAATCACGTCTAGTCTTTCATCGAAGTTACGTTGATAAACACGTGATCGCCGACTTCGTACTCTCTATCTCTCCTCCGGACATCCACATAACTCTTTTGGTGACTTTGGGTAGTTTTCAAACGTTGTTGAATCAGTTTCACTTTCTTAGTCGTTTCTTGCACAAGTTCTGGTCCCAATAATGGTTTATCTCCCACTTCGGTCCAATAGATTTGCGATCGACACTTTCTACCATACAGGGCTTCGTAAGGAGCCATTTCAATGCTTGAGTGATAACTATTGTTATACACAAACTCGGCTACTGGCAGATAAGCTTCCCAATTTCCTTGGAAATCTAATACACACATTCTCAACATATCTTCTAAAGTCTGTACTGTTCTTTCTGATTGGCCATCCGTCTATGGGTGATAAACACTACTCAATCTCAATTCAGTCCCCAAAGCCTGCTGCAAACTTTGCCAAGATCTTGAGGTAAATTTTTAATCTCTATCAGACACAATAAATACTGGTACCCCGTGCAATCTCACAATTTCGTTCACATAAATGTTAGCCAATTTATCTGTATTACAAAACGTTTTCACAGGTAGAAAATGTGCAGATTTAGTTAAATGATCAACAATAACCCAAATGAAATCCATACCTCGAGAGAAGCGAGGTATTCCAACAATGAAGTCCATCGTAATATGCTCCCATTTCCATTCTAGTATTGGAAGCGACTGAAGTAGTCCAGCGGGTCGTTGATGTTTGGCCACCATAAATTTTGTGATAAAGTGTGCGATACACTTTTTCATGCTAGGCCACCAGAAATTCTATTTCAAATCTTTGTACATCTTCGTGTTTCCCAGATGCATAGCAGATTTGGAATTATGAGCTTCCGTCATAACACATTTTCTCAATTCCAAATAATCCGGTACGTAAAGTCTTCTTTCAAATTTCAGGACATTGTCTTCAAATACAAATCTGGGCCTTGGTTTTGAACCCATCACATCAACGATCTTCTTCAAAAACTCATCTTGCAGTTGCTTTTCTTTAGCTTCTTCAAGTATAGCTGGTTGTGCAGTTATGGAGGCTAAAACTCCACCTTGTTCACGCAATACAATTTCAATTTCACTTCTTTGTAGATCATAAAATAATTCCTTCTGGCCAGTGAGCAAACATGACAAATTTCCAATGGATTTTCTGCTCAAAGCATCTACAACTGTATTTGCCTTTCCCGAATGGTACAAAATCTGTTAGTCATAATCTTTAATCAACTCAAGCCATATTCTCTGCCTCATGTTCAGTTCTTTTTTAGTAAAGAAGTATTTCAGGTTTTTATGATAAGTATACACTTCACAAGTTTCTCTATACAGATAATAGCGCAAGATTTTTAGAGCAAAAACAACAACTGCAAGTTCAAGATCACGGGTTGGATAATTCTTCCCATGTGGACGAAATTTCCATAAAACATATGCAATTACTTTCCCATTCTGCATCAATACACACCCCAGGCCTTTGTATGAAGCATCACTATAAATCCGAAATCCATCTGTACTATTAGGTAGAATTAGAATTGTTGCAGTCACTAGTCTAGTCTTCAATTCCTGGAAGGCGAATTCTCTCTAATCATTCCAATCGAACAGTACGTTTTTTTGTGTCAACTGTGTCAATGGCATGGCAAGTTTGGAGAAGTCTTTTACAAATCTTCTGTAATAGCTAGTAAGTCCCAGAAAACTTCTAACTTCAGTCACAGTGGCCAGTCTTGGCCAGTTTACAATGGCCTCAATTTTCTCTAGGTCAACGGATATGCCATCTTTGTTGATCACATGCCCCATAAATGTTACACTATCTATCCAGAATTCACATTTTGAGAGTTTTGCATACAATTTCTTTTTCCTCAGAATCTGTAGCACGGTTCTCAACTAACTTTCATGTTTTTCCCTGCTTCTAAAATAAATCAAAATATTGTCAATAAACACATCAACATATCAAAGAATTGTTTGAACACCCTATTCATTAGGTTCATGAATGCTGCAGGGACATTAGTCACCCTAAATGGCATCACCAGAAACTCATAGAGCCCATATCTTGTTCAAAAAGTTGTTTTCTCAATGTCTTTTGTTTTAACTTTCAATTGGTGGTATCTGAATCTAAGGTCTATTTTTGAAAACACTTGGGCTCCTTGAAGTTGGTCAAATAAATCATCTATTCAAGGTAGTGGATATTTATTTTTAACGGTTACTTTGTTCAATTCCTGATAGTCAATACATAGCCTCAAGGGCCCATCTTTCTTTTTAACAAACATGAGTGGAGCACCCCAAGGTGAAGTACTCGGGTGAATGAATTTCTTATCCAACAATTCTTGCAATTGGATTTTCAATTCTTTTAGTTCAGAGGTTGACATTCGGTATGAGGTTGTAGAAATTGATTGTGTCCCAGGTACTACATCAATAGTAAACTCAATTTCCCTATCAATTAGATCCCCTGGCAGTTCATTTGGGAAAACGTCAGGAAATTCATTCACTACAGGGATACGCAACATAAATAACCCCGGCAACCCTTTCTTAATAGTTTATTGGCCTTCATAGAAGAGATCAAATACGGGGGAGGAACTATACCAATTTTACAAAACACAAACTCAGGCGACCTAGGTGGCCGGAACACAACAGATTTATTCACACAATCAATAGTGGCATAATACTTCGTCAACCAATGCATTTCCAATATACAGTCAAAATAATCAATAGCCACAGGCATTAAGTCAACATATAATAGTACATCACCAATCATAATGTCACATGCGAGATATACATATGCACACATTATAGAACCCCCAGAAGGTGTAGACACAAATAACATATAATTCATAGATTCTAGAGATCTAGTCAATTTTTGTGAAAAAGCATGTGACACAAACGAGTGCGTAGATCCAGAATCTCTGAAAACACATGCATTTTGGGCACAAATAGGGAGTATACTTGACACCACGGATTCGGTGTTCTGCACATCACTAGGCACAAGTGCAAATACTCGACCTTGCCTTAAAGTTTCTTTCCCAGTATTGGTTCTCATAGTTGATCTCAGTGCAGGAGTGGATTCGGCTGAACTTGTCGCAAGATGGTTGCCTTTTTCTAATATGAATTGACAGTCTTTCACCACGTGGCCAAGTCTACCACACCGAAAACAAGCACCCGATACACGATGACATACACGCCTATGTTTTCTTCCACATTCAGCACAAACAGGTGCAGACCCACTACTTTGACTTGAACTGGTAGTAGATCTCGTATTTTGTTTTTTAGTCATAGAAAATGAATGGCCTTTTTTGAAATTGAATTCTGATCTTTTGCCTTTCCATTCAGTTGTTAGAGCTTTCACTTATTTCATTGCGGCCAAATTAGCTTCTGTCATCAAAGCTCAGGCAAGTACATCCACATATTTGGGCAGTTTTAACACACCAATCTGATCAAAGACATCTAGGCTAAGGCCTCCTTTAAACTTTTTGGCCTTTTTATAGTCTGTATCCACCATATGCGGAGCAAAACGGCCTAATTCTATGAACTTGGCCTTATTCTTGGCTACTAACATGCCACCCTGCTTTAACTATTGAAATTTTGACACCTTGCGATCTCTAAAGCATTAGGGAAAGTATTTCTCATAGAAAATTTCCTTAAATTGATTCCACGTCATGGTCCCATTGTCATTTCGGATCAACATCCACCAACGACGAGCTTCCGCTTTTAGAGTATAGGTTGCTAGCAAAACCTTTTGAGTTTCAGAACACGGGAACACTTCAAATAACTTTTCAATTTCTAACATCCACGTCTTGGCCCTAAATGGCTCAATATGACCTAGAAAAGATGGAGGCTTCATCTTGGTAAACTTCTGAGTCAATGTAATAATGTCAGCATTGACCGGGTCCACTTGAACTAAAAGGGCTGGAAGAGGCAAAGGTTTCTATCTTTGTCGCTCTATCATCGATTCTTTTAAGGCTTTAAGCATTTGTTCCATTTGGTTCATTCAGGACTCAGAGGATTCGGCTGCATCATCCCTTCTTGTATTTTCCATTGCTATAGGCAAACAAAACGATAATGAACATAGGAAAATAATTCCTTTCACAGTTTCGTTTCATTTTCGGTTAGATATGTTCATATATTTCACATACACTCACACATGCAGATGTAATGTCCCTAATTCCTTTCTAGGACATCCTATAGCTCATATGGACTTGTGTGTGCAGTATAACACGTGCTCTAATACCACTCTGTCACAACCGAAATGCGCCCTTATAGGTTAAGCATCATAATTGGCCAGTAATCTTGGGATGACCAAAGTTCTTTGAACAGATTAGACATACATGTAAATATCATAGTATAATGTCCATAGAGCTGTGCAGACATACATGTGACAGTAAATTTAAAACTTAATTTACATCATTATGTCGTCAGACTCGCATCACCATATTAAAAAAAAAAAAAACATGTTCAAACTTTAACAGAAGAAATATAAAAAGGTCTTAAACATTGTTTGCAAAAACTTGGCCACATCTTGAATGGGAATCTCCTCGGGAGGCACAATGGTTAGCAGACAAAACGAATTTCCAGGCAATCATCACTGAGCCCGGTCACACGCCTGATCACCTACATACATAAATAATACAGTAAGCTAGAGCCCAGTGAATAATAACAGAGTAATGGTTTTAATGAAAGATGTCCATAGCAGATTCAGAAATCAGATTCTAGAGTCAGAAATAGATTCACATTCAGAGTTCACAGATAATCACACGTGGTACATCCATTAGCGCTAATAGAATAGTTGACCCATTTATATGGGACGTAAATAGTTGACTCATGTGCACAAGAGACGTTCATAAGGATCCATAAACAGTTAACCCATGATCACATGGGACGTACAGTTGACTCATGATTGCATGAGACGTTCAGTTGACTCATGATTGCATAAGATGTATACAGAGCAGAAAATAGATATCACATGATGCTAAGGATGCCACAAATACATTTCAAAAATTCGGACAATCATTCATCCATATAGAAAATAGCAGTCCAGAAAATGGGACATTTCATATCTTAAAAAAGAAGTAAAGTTAAATATAACTTTACAGAGTTATTAGTTACAAATAGCTCTAGTAGAAAGCTAGACAGAACAGATGGATCAGGCAGTCTATGGCGCATGACCTATACAAACACATAGTGGATACACACTGAACACATGCTTATAAAACATTTAACTCATTTCTTTTCTATCTTGGTGTGCTTCTAATCCTTACCCCCATTATTATATCTTAATTAAGGCATAGGAATGCTTAAGATGTAATGAGGATGCAAAAATACACTTTGGAATACTTAGTCATATTTTCAAAAATAGGGTTAGTTTGCTCGAGCACAACTTTGGTCACTCGAGCGGCCTGTAAAACTCTGTAAAAGTACTGGTTGCTTGATTTTTATACTCGACGATCGTTCGACAATTGCTCGAGCCAAGGACAAAGTAAAGGTGGGTTCGCTCGAGTGCATACTTTGTCGCTCGAGCCATTGTGCAATTATTTGTAAAACCACTAGGAGCTTGCATTTTACGCTCGAGCGTAACTTCTGGTCGCTAGAACCAAGGTGCAAAGCAAAGGGTGGTCGCTCGAGTGTAGCTTTGGTCGCTTGAGCGATGATGCAAAATTCTAGAATTTCTA